CCCCCCTTTAGTGAAAAGGTATACTAAAAAGAGGGTACTAAAATTAATAGATTCATTAAGAATTTTTGAAGACATTCATATTGCTTTGAAAAAAAGTAGGCTGGGAAAAATTTGTCTGTTATTAAAAAATAACCTTGTCTAAGTATTTACATTTATTTTTTCTTTAATTTTCAATAAAAATGAATTCTTTGTACAAAAGAAAAATGTTAAAATACATTCAAAATTTTGGTCTTTTTAGCATCAAAAAAAACTTTTAAAGGAAATGTGTCCTTAAGACCTGGTTTCTTAGGACAAGCGCCTTATCTGGGCGTCATAGGGAAGTTGTTGTACAGCTGACTCCAACAAAATACTGTTTTGTTAGCTCAGCGTGAGCAGTCGGTCCAACGCAGACAGTATCTTGCATTGCGCTTGCGTTAATAACCTAAACAAATATTTATTTTGAATTTGTATTGATTTTATTATTGTTGACCAGTGCTTTAGAGAACAAATAATGACTTTGTCCAAGGAAAAACATATTATAACTGAGCTACATGAAGAAGAAGCTATGTTTAATGTTAAAAATCAAAATCTTGGCTGATTTTAATGTTCTGTTGGATGTTGTCTGCCATTGCTTCTGTAGTTAACCTTCCATTGTAATTCAACTGCAGTTGATTCGGACGTCAGTCTTCGTTCAATGGCGTATGCTGTCTAACTTACAAATTGACCAATCAGGGGTTAGCGCTAGCTTCAAGCTGATGTTTTGTAACGCTGACCTGTCCTAAGAAACCAGGCCTTTAGTGGGCATTGACCATGTTTGCTATCGCTCACCATCGAATATCTTAATAAACTTTTAAGCAAATAAATGTTTGAAAAAACTTTCTATTAGTAATCATAATGGTTTTACTTATTGTTGCTTATAATTTTTTTTTTATTTTAAGAAATATCCTGAAAGGGCCATTTACAAGGTTCTTTATCTTATGATAAGAAGAGGAGAACTTCAACATAGAATGCAAAGAAAAATGTTGTACAGAATTAAATAAATACCAACTGAACTTTTTATTCAATTCCTTCTTTTATATTTGTGTTGTATACTTTGTAAAATAAAATTTGTGTTTTGATAACATGCTTATTGTATTTTTTTAAAAATAAATCTCAAGCGGTGAATATATACTATCACTATTTTTAGATCTTTTGGTAAAATACAAAATTAAAAATGTATATAATGAATATGCCTGTCTTTATTTAATTTGATAAAAGTCAAATGGTACAAAATATTTCTTAAATAAAATTGATTTCTGTATCAGTACTCACAGATTGCTGATTACCTATATGCAGTAACAAAAACAAAAATGCTATTACTTAATTTAAGAAATGAAGAGTTTCTTTGTGCGACGTTATTCAGGAATTTTGCAGTCTGAATAAATGTAATATAAAATGGCAATATCGTGACAAACCCAAATGTAGATGCCAAATAGTATTTGTAACAGTTGGGCTGTAAAGTTCGTAGGCTAAAATAGAAAAAAAAAAATTTGTTGATAAAATCCCATTTTATTATTCAATATAGTTTCCTTCAAAGGCGATACAACGATTATAGCTGTCATATGATTTTTCGATATCATTTTTATAGTACGATTTGTCTTGAGCCTCAAAACAGACCTTTGTTTCGGTGATTACTTCTTCATCGGCGCCAAATTTCTTTTTAGCAAGCATTCTCTTGAGGTCTGAAAGCAGGAAAAAGTCACTGGGAACCAGACCTGGAGAATACGGTGGATGCGGAAGCAATTCGAAGACCAATTCATATAATTTTGCCATCATTTTCTTTAACTTGTGACACGGTGCATTGTCTTGATGAAACAGCACTTTCTTCTTCAAATGAGGCCGTTTTTCTGCAATTTAGTAGTTCAAACGCTCCAATAACGCTATGTAATAGTCGCTGTTGATGGTTTTTCCTTTTTCAAGATAGTCAATGAATATTATACCATGAGCATCCCAAAATACTGAAGCCATAACTTTGCCAACTGACTGTTGCACCTTTCCACGCTTTGGAGTTGGTTCGTCTCGTGCAGTTCACTCGGCTGAACTCCGGTGTGAAATTATGGAGCCATGTTTCACCCATTGTCCCATATTGACGCATAAATTCAGGTTTATTATGATTAAACAGCTTCAAAGACAGCTCAGAATCATCAATTCGCTGTTGTTTTTGTCCAATTGGGAGCCCGTGCGGCACCTACTTTGCCTAGAGCAGTGATTCTCAACCTTTTTTTCGTTGCGGCACACTTTTAACGATTTCGAAATTTGACGGCACACAATGAAAAAATTAGATTAAAAGTTGTTTAATTACCTATTTTACACTGTGTTAAATAGTTTGTGATAATAATTTTGAATGTGGAATAAAATAATATGCACTACAAAATCACATTTATTAAGGGATTAATTATTTCTTTCGACCAATTTTTTATTAGTTAGTAACAGTTATTTATTTTTTTTGCTAGTTATAAATTGTTAGCTTGTTTTCTATAATTATTAACTGTTTTTTTTTATTTCTNTACCACTGGGGATGGATTCCAGTTTTTTGTTGACAACTGAGAAAGCGCGGGAAAACTTCTTTGGTGGTTTTATAGGATTCAGGGTAAAAAACTACATTCCGAATGTCACATGTCGACTATTTATAGTGTTTTATAAACATTCAGAGTTAATGCGGTGTGTCACAATTTCCTGATTTTATTGTTTTAAATTCTATAAACAACACATAATCCTAACCATAGTCCCGAAAAACTATTCATTACGCTAGCTATAAAAATATTATGCGCGCAATCACATATATATATATATATATATAATATACACTTTTCTTTAATTTAAACTTTACTCTTAATTAAAAAAAAGCATTATAATTTTTACTGTATCATTTCTAATATTTGACGGCACATTTTAAGAATTTGGCGGCACAGTGGTTGAGAATCACTGGCCTAGAGCTTTCGGATACCCAAATATTCATTCACGATATGTTCAACACGTTCTTTTGAGTCTCAGATATTTTGATCAACTTCACTTTACGGTAATCAAAAGTTATTTTGTGGACTTTTTTTATGTTTTCGTCGGTAACAGCCTCTTTGGGGTGACTACTGTGTGCATCGTCGTGGGTGCTCATTGCTCCTCGTTTAAACTTAGCAAACCACTTTTAAATGGTTGATTTTCTGGTACAGAGTCCGAATAATGTTTCCCATGCCAAGTCTTGGCTTCAAGAGTATTTTTTTCGCTAAAAAGCAATGCTTTAAAAACACACGAAATTCTTTTTTATCCATTGTTTTTAAACTAACAAAAGTTGCGTCACTAAAAATACTATATCTCACTAACTAATAGTCCGACAGCTGTCAAATTTATACACGTGTCTTTCAAAGGTTAGAACTAACTAAAAATCATATTTATTTAATCATCGTTGCCCCATCTATGTGTCAGCCTACGAACTTTTCAGCCCAACTGTTAATTACCAATGTTCAGAGTAGGTGAAATTTTTTTATTTCCATCCCTTGCAATTTCAAGTTGGCAATGGCATTTTCTACAGGGTGCGTCGCATTTTTAAAAAGTGCTTATTTCATTAGGTGTTTTTTAAAAATGCTTGTTTTTCCCTTTTCCAAAATGAGATTTTTCCTTTACCATGTTGATTTTTGCTACGAATTATGCAGAAAGACATTATTCTATTCAACGTTTTCACAATTAATTGAACCCCAATCTATTTCGGCGTATCGTCAGTCCTTAGCGAATTAAAACGCCATTTGATTTACATGATTCAAAAATTTTGACAGTTGTCAAAAATAATGCTGAAGTTTTTTTTTTTTTTTTTTGACATGACGTTTACAACCGTCAATTGTCAAAAACTCTCCAATCCTACATAATTTCCTATTAACAAGCACTTAACTCAAAAAATCTACTTATTGAAAACAAATTTTCTCAATTAAATGACTAATTAATATGCAGCACTGTTATATTTATGTAGTCTATGAAACTATTTCTAATAATTGATAGTGCACAACACTCTATAAATTAGATTGATTGCCATGCCAGAAATCCTAATTTAAGTAATAACTAGGCCAGAAGTTCATTATTATATTACATGAAATAAACTAAACTGTTTTAGATAGTTTATGTTAATTTAAACACAGTAGTGAATACTCAAATATTTTTTAAATCATTTTATTTACAGTTTTATTCTATTTTGAAATACATAATTGACTGGAAAAATGAACACTACAAAAATTATTTTATAATAAAAATTTCTGGGTGGTATTTAAAAGTTGAATTATAAACAATATAGTTTGCTACTAGTGCAGTTTTTAAAATTGAATAAAAAATCTATAGTTTTATTTACCGATACAAAACCTCTGAAAGACAATATCTAAAATATCTTCAACTCTAACTCGTCCAGTTATTTTACCTAATTCATTCATAGCATTTCTTAAATAGTCAGCTGCTATAGCTATGTCCATTTCTATAGCATTTTCATATTCAATTATATACTGAAGGCACTTTTCTAAATGATGTCTGTGACGTTGTTGTGTTATGGCTGGTTCTTCTCCTGAATGACTGCAACATCTAATGAATAAATTGATTTATATGTAAATGAATAAAATCTAAAAAGTGACATTTGAATAAATTGTAAGTAATATGATGACAAAAGTTATGGAGTAGTACATTCATTGAAAAACGGCATTGTTTTTTTTTTAAAAACTTTTAGATTATATCAAATGCTTGTCCCATATTGTTCTCTTTTAATTGCTTTTTTGATGAAGTTGAAAATGTTAGATTCTTTAAAAGTAAAATTCATTTTGCGTGTTGCTGCATAAGCAAACTACAATCATTTACTTAATGAATTTTTAGCAAAACATTGAAGTGAACTAAATGTTACTCATTTGTATTAATGAATGTCATAATAGGACAAATGTGTCAAAATTAAGAGGCTCAATAGAAGATTTAGGTAAAACTGCTAGAACAGGGTGCATAGTGCTATGAAAAAGTGCTTATTTTTGATTTTCATTTTTTAAAAGCCCTTAAGGGTGCTTTTTTCATTGGGTGTTTTTAAAAAGTGCTTAATTTTCCCTTTTCTAAAATGAGATTTTTCCTTTACCATGTTGATTTTTGCTGCGAATTATGCAGAAAGACACTGTTCACATTGTTCAATTCAACGTTTTCACAATTATTTCAACCCCAATCTATCTCGCGTATCGTCAGTCCGTAGCGTATGAAAACGCCATTCTATTTACATGATTCAAAAATTTTTTTTTTTTTTTTTTTTTTTTTTACATAATGATTAAAACCGTCAAATGTCAAAAACTTTTCAACCCTACCTAATTATATTTTTTTAAAGTGCTTAAAAATATTATTTGAGTACTTGAAAAGTGCTTATTTTTTGTTGAATAATTTGGCTACGCACCCTATAGAAGTTGTTAAAATTGATTTATGCTGAATCTTTGTCGTCCTGAACCATTTAAAATTGAGTGATAAGTTCTGTTAAGAATGTAACTGTAAAGAACCTTAGCAAGTAAGCTATTATTTACTGTATATTGGTGCACATTAAAACAGCTCAATTTTGATTGGAACAATTGAAAAGCCTTTACACCAAACTCATAACTGAGCACGAAGCAGAAAAGTACAATCTGACCAAATACCCTGGTTTACCATGGGCAATCAAACTGTGGAAGATGAAAACTCTAGCAGTTACACCAATACAGTGGCTGAATAATTTTAGATCTTATTTAATTTCAATTTACGTTACAGATTTTTTTTTTTTTTAAAAATAGATTAACATCATTAAATGTTTTAAAAGGTTCTAGTAACTAATTTCTTCCTTGTTTAGACATCAAAGGCTAAGTGGTGAATCCATAAATGGCGCATTTGGTCGAGCACAAAGCTATCAGGCTCCTTTAGTTCCATTTTTGCCAGCTTATTAATATTTAATGAAATAAAAGGCTGTTGTACCCAATTAAGTTATTATTTTAACATTAAATTGGTGTAATTGGTTATTCTGACATTTTACTTTGCTATTTTGAATTGTCATAATAATATACTTTCACTGTATTTGAATTACATACAGTCTACATGCTCTTTAGTACTATACCTCATTAGAGCGACTCTTACATTATAACAACCAATGCATAAAGTCTTGTTTGTTTTTCCATTGATGCACTGTTATTTTCATGTCCATTGGAACAAGCACACAGTACTGTTGATTCCTATTTACCAACTGAAATTTAGTTTGATTTCAAAGAAACTATTTGAACTAGTAGTTCCTTTTATTTAATCACACAATAAATCTAAAACACCTTGAATCCTTTTTTGAATGAAGAAAGATAAACTTATTTTTCAGAAGATACAGTAAATATATCAATCATACTTTGCTTATTCAAAAGTTTTCACTCTTTTTGTGAAATGTCAGTCCCCTAGCGTGTTTATTATTGAGATAAAAAGTTTATTTATGTAATTATCTTGACTGACATCGAAAATGAGAATTTCGAACCAGTATATTTTTTAATGCATTTTTCTTTTGCGAAGTGTTACTTCAAAGGATATTTGAAATTATATTAGAAAAAAAGTTCTCATTACCAATTCTTCTTTTAGTTACTTACTTCTTATACAAGAAAAGCACTGTTCTGCTAAAACTGTTGCTACGAGTTAATAATTAGCTATAAATTAATATTCTCTGCCTGATATATCATAAGACCCGGGCTCGCTGAAGATTAGAAATATTTTTCCTTAATAATTGTTATTAGAATTATGAGTTAAAAAAACTGAAGAAAATATGCGCTCAAATTTATTAATACATCATAATTTTATATTATAAAAAATTTAAAAGCATTTCGCAAATGAATAACCTGTATATTTGGATTCAAGTTTCGACTAGTGGTTGACCATGACAATTCTGTACCTACAAACCCTGGATTTTTAGATCAGACCCAGTTAATATTTTATTTTATATCTGTCATTGAACATATGACCCAATTTTAGGTAATGTGACCCATGATCGGACTACCACAGAGGATAATTTACGCCAATACTGTGCAAGCCATCGCTAGGATTCGAACTCGATTCATCTCATTGGAAGGCAAACGCTCCATCCCCTGAGCCATCATGGTTCCCTGTCAATATTTTATTTTATAACCGTAGTTAAACAGCAGACCCAATTTTTTGGTTTTATGGCAAACCCAATCCAGAAGACAAGGGAACCACTGGATCAAGTATTGGGAGAAATTTTACCTTTGTGGAGGACTTTTTGAAGAAACTAACTTGCATTTGCTTTACATAAAAAGGAAACCACGAAAACCTTTTACAGATAGCCTGGTGGCTAATGGACTCTAACCCATGATCCGTCTACCACTGAGTATATTTTACGTCAGCACCATGGTCGGTATGAGCCGGGTGCGGAATTTGAATCGACCAACTATCGCTGGGATCGAACCCAGGTCACCTCATTGGGAGGTGAGCGTTCTTTCCCCTGAGCCACCACGGCCCACTGGTTTTGTGGTATTTTTGTGCACTCAGAATGTAACGACCTAATATTATAACATGTATATTTGCCCAGACAACAAAGGTTGTCATAGTCAGTACTGACTGTCATAATTTTAAAAAATAATTAAAATTAAATACATACATTTCTTTTATGCTGTTAGAAAAAAGTGTCACAAATGTCTCCATTCCATTCCCATCAGTACAAGATATTGAACAAGCTAAAGGAACAGATTCTTCAATTTCTGAAATTACTTGTAAGTCATCAGGTTTTAACAGATCTCTTTTATTTAGTAATATAAAAACACTGGGACAGCTTTTGTTATCTGATAACCCATCTAAATAATTTTCTTTCACGAAGTCAATACCAAGATCTTCAGTTAGTAGATAATTTTTAAAATCTTTCTCAATTCCAGAATATGATTTATAAAGAGTGACTGCTCTCTCTGCTTCTATGATGAAAAGTAATAAATCAGCCTTAGAAGATCTGGAAAAAAAAATTTCAAGTTAGCCATTATCTAAAATAGAATAAATTAATAGGAATAAAAAATCAAATATTTAGATGTGTTAAAAAAATTTCTTTACAAGGAAAGTTTTTGAATGTTAAAACATAAGAATTGTCTAGCTAACTGGTATTTTTTATAAATACATATATATAATTCTCTTTTTTTAAAACGAACAAAAAAAATTTAAATTGTTCATTCTTTTTGCCATGGCTATACATTTATTAAATTCAAAAAAGATATTCAAATTCATATTAAATATTCAAAAAAGTTGTTCATAAAATAGTCTGTATTTCATGAACTGTTTCAGACCTGCTATCATCTCCAGCAAAAAGCCAGACATTTCCCCCCCTCCCCCAACATTCAAGTGGTAGCAAAGTTTATTTTTAAATAATTTTGATCACCACATCATTTAAACTTATATATAAAAGACATAATAAGCATGTTGTTAAGTGCAGGTGACATTTTAAAACATTTGCTTACTTGTATCTACTAACATTAAATATAGTAGAAAACTAGACTTTCTGGGTTGGCAGCTTTGCTAACAGTATAAGATCAAAATATTACTTAGATGAGATTATTTTAACATTGATGAGATAATTTTGACGTAATAGATCCTTATTATGTTTCGGACAGACAATATATCAAAAGATAAATCATTGATTCAAAACTAGCAATCAAAATCTTTTAGAAGAAGCAACCACTAACTTCCGTAATGTTACAAAATGTTAAAATTGGCATTGTGAAATTTAGGTACAAATAACCAAATTTGAGAGGTACTTAAACTTGCTCGTAAAGAAATGCCACAAACATGGTTCTGTTTGATTAACTGCATTTGGCAAAATACTAAAATTTTTTCGTTTTTTTTTTTATTATGAACGAATTTAACATGACATAATTTGCAATTTCGTCAAATAAATTAAACTGAGTAAAATTTTTTGATAGGTAGACCCAATTATAAAAGAGACATTCATAGAATGCAGAGATGCCAACTGCTCCGGATACGCCAAAATAATGAAGAAAAAAAAAAACGGTAAATAACTACAAAGTAAATTTTGCAAATATTTGACTATTTTTAATATTGATTACAAATAAAATAAAATTATATCATTAAAAATGTTGTACTTAACATAAATTTTTATACATATGATGGTTTTAGATTTGAAATGAATTATTTTACCTATCTTTTGCTCTTCGAACACCTTCTTCTTCGACTGAGTTGCATGTTTCCCTAATGCCTGCTGTATCACATAAGCTAACTAAATAACCTCCAAGATTAAGTGATGATTCAATTATGTCTCGAGTGGTTCCAGCATGAGATGATACTATGGCAATATCTCTCTTACCTAATCACATTGTAAAATTGCACTATAATAACAATAGCAAAAATAAGCAATATAAAAATTGAATGTAAGAAAACTAATTTAATATAGCTCTTTATGAAAAGTACGGTTTTTCAAATAGAAAAGGTGTTCTGAAATCAGTACAATTTGAATCTTTGTGTTATTCAGAGGTGATTGTGAGCCCAACTCAAAAATCCTGAAAATTTCTTGAGTAAAATCATTAATGACGGATTTCAAAAAATTGATGACTTAATAAATTTAAATCATTGATATTTTCAAAACATGAAATTCTAAATAAATTATAAGCAGCATAATTTAAATGAAGAATTATGTGCAAGTTTACTTTTACCTCTAATCACATTTATTATTCTACCAGAAAAAATATTTACAAATGAAAGAGATGCCAAAGATAAATTCTAGTTCTAATATTTTTAAATAAAATATACAAGAATTTTTATGCATAAATGTGATCGATGATTTCTTGAAACTTCTGGACCTTGGATTTCCAGATCGCGGTGAGCGAAAAATCCGGAAATCCAGATTTTTTCCGGAGCACAATCATCTCTGGTTATTTGTGTTATAAAATGTCAACAAGAAGAAAAGAAGCTGAAACAGCTGGTTAATAAATATTATTAAAAGTAAAGCACAACGCAAAATATTATGGCATTTTTAATAATGAGCAACATTTTGAACATTGCTGTGTTACTTCCTAGTCATATCATTAACCGTTTTCATATTCAGAACTAATTAGTTCCTTAATCTGCAATTTAGTGCTATCAAACTTTTTCTTTGAGGATTTTTGAAATCTAAGGTTTATGCCAAAAACCTGATTGTCTCCCACCTCTCGAAGAATATAATTCAATGCACTATTATGTAATAAAAATAAGCTACATATTTACAAAATAGTCATTAACAATTTGATGAAAAAATGCATATCGTCTCCTAATAATCTAAAATGCTATTGCATAAGTAACCTACAATTGTATACTTTATAAATATTAACAATATTTTATTAAAGTAGTAATTTTATATAGTTTATGTTCAGAGAAATTTTTTAAAAAAAGTTTGTAATGTGGTATTAGGAAACTTATGAAAAAAATCTAATTTAAATGTCATCTAGACACAAAAAAATGCTAGCAGTTAAAAAAATTAAAAGTCCACCACATTTTATACGCATTCAAGTCATTATGTGATATTTAATGTAAACCCACATTCATCATTTTCTTGTATCTATTATCCGCAATGAATGGTTCCATGAGAAACAATAAATTGAGGTTCTACCGTATAAGTTAATATTTAACATACTTTGAAGTACTCAAAAAATAAAATTACCTCACCTCATAATGTTATTATTTGTTTGAACGTCCAGAGTCATTATACGGAACATTCACTGTATTTCAACTAAAAATTTGAGATTTTACAACTTCAACATATGAAACCATGTTACTTTTGTCCATAAAATACATCTTCTATGGCCATTCGTTTTTAATATTCTTATTATGAAAGTAGTAAAAGCATTTTGCCTTACACAGATTATTCATGAGACTACTTTTTCCAACATTTGGTTTCCCAATCAATACAACATTAACACCATTCCTGACTTTTTCACCTCTTCTTTCATCAGTTAAATGTAAGGATATTTTCTTTTTTAGTGATGCCAAATCATGGTTCACTATGAAATAGAGAAATAATTTGATTACAAGTCAAATAATAGAAAAACTGGCCTGATAAGATATATATATCATAATAAAGACAAAAAGAATAATAAATCAGCCTTAGAAGATCTGGAAAAAAAAATTTCAAGTTAGCCATTATCTAAAATAGAATAAATTAATAGGAATAAAAAATCAAATATTTAGATGTGTTAAAAAAATTTCTTTACAAGGAAAGTTTTTGAATGTTAAAACATAAGAATTGTCTAGCTAACTGGTATTTTTTATAAATACATATATATAATTCTCTTTTTTTAAAACGAACAAAAAAAATTTAAATTGTTCATTCTTTTTGCCATGGCTATACATTTATTAAATTCAAAAAAGATATTCAAATTCATATTAAATATTCAAAAAAGTTGTTCATAAAATAGTCTGTATTTCATGAACTGTTTCAGACCTGCTATCATCTCCAGCAAAAAGCCAGACNTCCTTTTACCTCTAGATACGCCTCTGCATATCATTAACCGTTTTCATATTCAGAATTAATTATAGTTGCTTAAACTGCAATTTAATGCTGTCAAACTTTTTCTTTGAAGATTTTTGAAGTCTAAGGTTTATGCCAACAATCTGATAGTCTTTAACCCTTTGAAGAATACAATTCAATGCACTATTAATAAAAATAAGCTACATGTTTACAAAATAGTCATTAAGAATTTTGATGAAAAAATGCATATCGTCTCCTAAAAATCTAAAATGCTATTTCATAAGCAACCTACAATTGTATACTTAATAAATCTAAACAATACTTTATTAAAGTAGTAATTTTAGATAGTTTATGTTCAGAGAAATTTTTTAAAAAAAGTTTGTAATGTGGTAGTCAACTGTATTAAGAAACTTATGAAAAAATTCTAATTTAAATGTCATCTAGACAGAAAAAAATGCTAGCAATAAAAAAAAATTTCAAGACCTTAAAAGTCCATCACATTTTATACACATTCAAGTCATTATGTGATATTTTACGTAAACCCACATTCATTATTTTCCTGTATCTTATCGTTTGCAACGAATGGTTCCATGAGAAACAATAAATTGAGGTTCTACTGTATAAGTTAATATTTAAGATACTTTAAAGCACTCAAAATAAAATTACCTCACCTTATAATGTTCTTATTTGTTTGAACGTCCAGGGTTATTATACGGAACATTCACTGTATTTCAACTAAACATTTGAGATTTTAAGAATTTCAACGTACAAAACCAGGTTACTTTTGTCCATAAAATACATCTCCTATGGCCATTCCTTTTTAATATTCTTATTATGAAAGTAGTAAAAGCATTTTGCCTTACACAGGTTGTTCATGAGACTACTTTTTCCAACATTTGGTTTCCCAATCAATACAACATTAACACCATTCCTGACTTTTTCACCTCTTCTTTCATCAGTTAAATGTAAGGATATTTTCTTTTTTAGTGATGCCAAATCATGGTTAACTATGAAATAGAGAAATAATTTGATTACAAACCAAATAATAGAAAAACTGGCCTGATAAGATATATATATCATAATAAAGACAAAAAGAATAATGAAAAGAGAATAATAATAATAAAAAAATATTAAAATAAAATGAAAAATTCAAAAAATAATATTAAAAAGCCGAAAAACAAAAATATAAAAAGATATTCTTCATCAGCTAGCACAATTATATCCACAAAAAGGAGTGCTTTCTAATATTGTATCAATGTAGCCAAAGCAAAATATATCAATACAAAGTAAAGAGCACCCAAAAAAAATTTTTTTGAAACAAAAATGAACACATTACATACATATATATAGTGAGAGAGTAGTGTACCTTGGAGCAATTATAGCTTCCTTTTTTGTTTAGAGAGTAATAATGAAAAAACTTGTGGGAAATGCATTATATATTTGTTTACTAATATAATATTTTGGGAACAAATTTTGTCTCGCACTTAAGAAGAAAAAAAAAATTTAAATAACAAAAATCAGTCAAAGGTATGACATGGTGTTGCACCTTGGGTGACACTTATTTTGAGCTCTTTTCTTTTAAACTTGTTTACAAATTGAATTTTCATGCAATTAAAACTAAATTTTCAAGTCTGTCTAAGCTAAAATAATCATAAATGAAGATCTAAAATGTAGAGTTTCATTAAGAACATCCAAATTTTTATATTTCATGAAAGTTGAAGTTTACAGGGAAATATATTTGTGCTAACTGACATTTGTTAGGCTTAACAAAAAAATTACTTTTCTAAAAAATGGTAAAAATAGTAACTATGAGTGTTGACTATCATTTCAGCAACAAAAATATTAATGTTAAAACAATGTAATTTAAATAAATAAAAAAAATTTGTGATATATCATAAAAGTTCAATATTTATTGATGGCATCGATAATAAAACTCCCGCATCACCACACAAGCCCAAATATACTCAATCATATTTGAACATATTTAATGAATAAAGAATACTAATTAATTCATTATCATACTAGTTAATGAGTAATAAATTTAAATAATAATAAGAGTATATTTGAAAACATACTGAACTGATAGGTTGTCTTTGTAAACATTGTGGATGATCATTATTTTATGTATAGAACAAATTTATTTTGTTTTAAAATCTACCTTTTATTTTTTCAAAATTCACTTATTGGAATATTTCTTGCCCAAACAATTTAATCTTTACTACAACCTTTTAAGAAGATTTCTTTAAAATATATACACACNATGTGTGTGTGTGTGTGTGTGTGTGTGTGTAACAGTAAACTTCAATATAAATTATTTTCTGCAAAAATTTTAAACTGAATAAAAATTTAATACTTGGTTTTAAACCTTACCTGTAATGAAAATTGAATCATCAAGGTGCTGATCTTCACTAAAATCAATATAAGCTTCTAAACTTGCCAAAATCTGAAATATTGAAATCTTATATGAAAAATATACCTAACACTAAAAATAATTTTAGCGATTAAAATTATGCTATTAATAATAAGAAATTAACCGATAAATATATTATGTACTTTTAAATAACAAAACCGGGCCTCATGCAGGAAGGAGGTAAATTGAATATTCAAACAATGACAAAAGGAATTCGACCCAATTTATATAAAGCAAAGAAATATAAACATTAAAATGTTTCAATCCAAATCAGATTATCATTTTAATAAAAGATTCACTTCAAAATTTATACTGCAAAGTTCAAATTTAGGAAAAAAGTATGCAGTTTGTTGTTGTTTCTAATCCTCCTGCATCTGATTAAGTCAGTCAAGATTAGGACTGGGCGATGTTAAGATTTCTGCATCGTGATGCATCGCCACTCAAACATCGCGTTGTCACGTTACTGTTTCACATTTGGTTTTGCCAAATTTTGCATTGCACAACTTTGCTTTTTATTTACTTGATGCTACTGTAAAGTAAGACTAAGACTGAAATTTTAATTAAATATATATATATATACTTTGTGTGCTTGGGGAAAAAAGAGAGTAAGTTCAAGATAGGGATATTCAGATAAAATTTATAAAAAGTGAAAATCTGCCAAAATGCATCAAACTAACATTATACGAATTATATTCATTTTATAGGTGCAGATAAACAACTAAATGATTTATAATTGAATGTTGTATTTAATTTCAATAAAGTTATATAAAAATATAATCAATAGGGAAAAAGTTAAGACATTTTTGACTATTACTAATAAAAAAATAAATTAAAATCATTTTTGCATAAAATTATCTTTGGATAAACGAATTTAATAATTCTGTGCTGAAATTTATCAATTCGAGTAAAAAGTTCTCGAGATATGTTAAAATACGCAAAAAGTAGCATTAACATCAAGAGATCCTAACTTTCGATCGCTCTCCTGACCAAATTATTAGGACTATATTTCTCAGATTACAGCTACGCCTTAATATTTTGAGGGTCAGGAATCATAATCCGTCAAAAAAATTTATTCAGATGAGTACGCTTTTGTGCCTCACTTCGTAATTTAAAATATTGTCTGCTTAAACTAATTAGCATATTTAAGGTCTCTCCCTCAAACCACTAAAGATTAAGTCCTAATACGCGAAAATCAGATCAACAGACCAAAAGTCTTAGCCTGCCGCAAAGTATGTCAGCCAACTGTAAAAATAAAATAGATGCAATTATAAAAAGAAAATGAAATTTTAAATGCGCATTGAGCCAACAATTTAGAAATCTTTATAAACAGAAAAATAAAAAACGTAATAAAAAAGGATAAAAAAAAAATTATGGATTGAGAAAGATAGAAAACTTAGAACAGCTGATGGGTATAACCTCTTGGTCATTCATTCTCCAGAATTTCTTGAAGAATATCCTTCAATAATTTATTAAAGGCAGTAACCTTCAATATTTTTGAGGAAATAGCGAAAAACTAGTATAAAAACAAAATTTCCTGGAAAAGGATACAGTGGAAATTATTATGGCTTCAATATTGTAAAAATCAATTATTTAAAAATTTATTTTCATAATTATTGCTAACCTAATGTAATGTAATGTTACTAAACTAGATTTCGTGAAAATAAAATTTAACTGCACACTCTTATAAAAATTGTTATAAATAAGGAAGATCGAAAAGCAATCAAGTCGAAAAGGAAAATGCTAAAGAAATAAAAACAGAACGACTGTCTTAAAAAGAAAATTTGCGTTTGATAAGTCGTCCGTTTAAAAACTCGTTTGCCAAAATTTTTTGCAAAAGTATTAGATTTTTTTATATTTCCTAACAGTAATGATAATAATTTTTTAATAATTGAAAACGTGGTCAATATGCAAAATTGCAACTTTATACAAAATTATTAATGAAAACATTTTATCTATATTGAAGGAATGCAATTCTTCAGATTTAACAAAGAAAAATAAATAGGTAAAAAAATAAACAAAAAGTCTTATCGGAACTGATCAAAAACAATCTTTTCTTCAACAAGACAAAAATTATCTCAAAGTATTATCAAATAACAAAATATAAATAATCCTCAGAGAATCACTTTCTTTTCTTGGATTTGCACGAATTGAAGAAAGCACCTTTTCATCTTTCATTGGCGATGAGTTAGTTTCACTCCTAGTCACATCGGAATTCATCGTCAGCGCATCGTTACTTTATAATTCGCGTAGGAAGAAACATAAGGGAAAAGATCGTCATGGCAATCGATGTCGCCTCGCGATCGGGGGAAATGCTCTTCGCACACGCTTGCGAACATCGATGTTGAATCTGAAGAATCGCTCTTCGCGGCATCGGGGAAACATCGATGCCTCGGGCAACATCGAACACATCGCGCGGACATCGGAATTTCCGATGCTTCGTAAAATACGCCAACCTAAACATCGGATTGGCGATGGTTACACAACATCAATGTTTTCCGATAAATCGATGTATCGCCCAGTCCTAGTCAAGATAGATATGACTGTTAGTTCTGAAAAAATTCATCAAAAAAGTGGGTTAGTGTAAAGATCTATCCAAGCAACCCAAAATGTGCTCTACAGAAGCGTGATGATTATAGCAATTGGTGCATTGATGTGACTACTGTCAAGTTTGCAGGGCAGGTGAGGTGTGTCTAAGGCAGGGATGGGCAAACTACTGCCCACGGGCTAACTGTGGCATGCCAGAAGGTTTTATCCAACCCGCTGATAGAATTTTAACTAGCCAATTCGTGCTGAATATAAACAATATACATCCATTTTCTTGTCTACTTTGTTTAAAGCTATTTTTGTTAAGTCCAGGGATCCCACTCAAATTTCCGAAAAAAAATTCCCTGACTTTTTCAGGTAAATTTCAATGAAATCCATACCATATTTTATCTATGCTACGAAATTTTTAATCAGAAAATTTGGATTCTTTTATTTGTTATGCCAAGCATTAGATTTTTTGTGTAAAATAAATATCATTATATGAGGAAGGAAGCATTTCAGTATGTCTAAAATGTAAAATTTTTATAATAAATAATTGTAATAGATGTTAGAATTATTTCACTCGAATCTCAATAACTGAGTATTGTTACTGACAATTTTAAGAGTGTTTTTTTTTTCAGGAATAATGAAGGAATTTTCCAGGTTTTCGTAAGAAAATTGCAACTTTCCCTGATTTTTGGAGTTGAAATAAAATTCCAGGTTTTCCCTGTTCTCCCTGCCCCGTGGAACAAATTACTGATGACCTTTTATTTTCTCTATTTTTGTTCTACAAAACATAAATTGATGAAAATAGTTAGCTCAGTCAGCTTCAATTGGTAAAATGTTGAAAGCAGAAGTTCTTTATATATAGCCGTAGATTGGTGCCATCTGAAGCAGTTGTTTTTAAGTATGCCAAAGTATGAGTTTTACAAATCATTACCAAAAGCTAGTTTCCCAAATTCAATATTTCATGCCCAGAAAGTCAGTGCTATGTTTGATTCATCTTACATATGTGAACAAGTGTTTTCAACTATGAACCCTAGAAAAAATCATTCCAGAAGAAGACTAACAAACAAACATTTCGCCTCATATTTTAAAATAAATACATCTCACTTGTAACCTCAATATAAGGAACTTTTAAAAATGAAATCGCAATTTCATTCATCTTATTTAATATTTAAATTAAAACTTGTATATCGTTTTTTTAATTTTAGAAGTTTTTACTTGGCTCACCAAACTTTTTTTTCTCGATTTTTTGCCCTCGACCAAAAAAGTTTGCCCACCCCTGGTCTAAGGGGTGATTGTACTCTGGGTGTATCCCGGAATCCTGAGCTTTTCATATCATCCTTCCAGGTCGAATAGCTAGGAGCAGAGCATGTTGTTTTTTCGCGGAATTCTGAATATCTCAAGACCATTGATTCACAGAATTCCAGGAATCCCAACTTATAGTTGTGATGCCAGAATTGGCATACACATATTTATTTTCTATCTTTTAAAATATCCTTCATTACTTAAGCTTATTTTTATTAATGTAAGAATTACTTTTAAAATAAATCAAAAACTTAATCTTTTTAAGCGAACATAAAATATTTATTTCTTCTCTTCCAGATCAATGTAACGGATACTTTCTTTTTATTTCATTACTTATGCAGACATATTAATTCACTGTCGCCTCTAATCGAAAACAAAAATCTATTTATAACTTTTTATTCTAATTTTCCAACGGCTAAATGTTTCGGTTGCATGGTTATAATAATTCACATAAATTTGTTGGCGACTCGTGATCGCCAAGGTGTTCTTTTAAACCCATGTGGATATGCTAGTTGGCTTTGTTTTTGGCTATGATATATTATGATAAATCGCCAAATTTTGGATCTCCTACCCATACTCTTTCTCTGTCCGTTGAGAATAAATATATTCACTTTGAATTTCTAAATTGGAGAGGCTGGGACCCCTTCGGGGGACTCCCAGTCTTAATTTTCTAACGGTCAGAAATGTTGTTCTGCCTTTATGATCTCTCAATAGAGAGTATTATTAATTTCATCCCTTTAAGGGATTTCTTATTTTATTGATGAAGTGGCCACTATCGAAATCTTAAGTTATGATTAATAAAACCTAAATTTACATTCAACGATTTGTACATTATTTCCTGGAAACTCAACTGTTATTGTTTTATTCATTCAATATTGGCCTAAATGAACATTCATACATTCCACTATCAACGATACGCCTAATGAAGGAAGCAGCTAGCTTTCATCATTACAATAGTCAAGCGAAATTTTCACCTCAATCTAAAATTTAAATTAAGAATTAAAGGTTCTACAATTTAAGTTTTGAACCCTTCGCTAAATCACGTTAACATGACGTTTTTCTACACATGACCACTCTTTAGGAATTTTGGTTTGAAGGATTTTCATCGTTTTTAATATTTGAAACTACGTCGGAATCCGCCAATATCGCGATTCATGTTCGCATGATTTTAATATCAAACATCGATTTTTGCATTTATCTGATTTAAAAGTCACTCAATGTAAATCGTATTCAGCGATTAAAAAAATTCCAATATCGCAGTTTGTATTTATGAGCTTTTAAAATCAATATCGCGATTCGCATTCAAGCGAGTTTAAAATCTAATGTCGCTATTTGTATTCACGGGACCTAAAAAGCATGAATCGCGATTCGTATGTACGCGAATCAGAAATCCAAAATCGCGATTTGTATTTTCTCGTTCCTAAATACAATATCGCCCTTCATAATCACACAATTCTAAAATCCGATATCGCGATTTGTGTTTTCGCGTTCCTAAAATCTAATATCGCGATTCACATTTGAGGAAAGATTAAAGGCCATTGAAACAACAAGGAAATTTCTGTATTCACAATAACTTACAGAAAATAAACAACAAACTGTTACAAATGTCGAAAATTTATTGCTTGCATTGTGAAATGTGTTTATTTATCTTTTGAATTGCAAATATTTTTGTAGCTAGTACAATGATTTATCAATAAATTTTTTTTATACTAATTGTAAGTTTATTAATTTTCAAATCCATTATTTATTTACTACTTTTCATATATTTCAGAGTCATTATTTTATGTCAACCCGCATTCGTTGTTATCCCGTATCTGACATTTACAATGAATGAAGCCCATGAAAAACAATTGACCAAGGTACTATTGTTCTTTGATTTAGGTATCTAAGAGGTGGTAAATTCTAAATTGAAAAAAAAGTGCTGCTACTTAAAAAAAATTGGCATCAATTATAAGAAGTTAATATTAAAACAAATGAAGATGGTAGAAATTGTTTTTTTTTAATTGATGCATTTAATTTAGTATTATATATTGGAGGCCTTAAATGTAATTAACAACAAAGAATCTTACACTATTCTAAAGTTAACAAAACACAAGTTGTAGCCACCCAACAACAAACACTTAATCTAGAATCTCTGTCATTCCTTATCACACCATAACCTTTATGAAAGACATTATTATTCTTTCCTTAAACATTTATTTAACAAAGGTATTACCTAAGTTTAAACAAATTACAGGATTACTTTTTACAAATACAGTACTTGATTAATTAAAGCATTAGGCTGAATGCTAAACATTTGCCATGAAAAACCCAATGAATAATTTTTATTGTACATACATTTAAACACATACAAAAAATTTAAATTATTATAAAATTAAAATCTTACAATAAATTGGGAAAAATTATTCAAAAATCATAGTAGTCCAGATTTTTTTTAAATAATTGTTATATTTTAATAAAAATTCAAATTATTTATTGTATTTTTCTGCAGACAATATGGCTGCTTTGATTAATTCAAAGAGTATGTACTAATGTAAAATCAGTCCTTTTCAATGCTTATAAACAGCAGTGTTTTCACAACAGCGCGAGAATCTCGCTTATTTTTTTCTTTTCTCACATTAAAAAATCATTAACGCGAGAAGATCGCACACTCTATTAATCAATTTCAAAATGAGCGAATTTTGGAAAAAAATTAGTCTTCTGCCATTTTGAATAAAATCCGTTTCACTTTTCTTCCTTGATCTTTCATTATTTTCAACACGGATCCCTGTTATCTAGCTTCCCTATTTACCAGTATAGTTCAGAACNCCAGAACACAATGTCCCCCCCCCCCGAATGACGGAACACCTTTCAGAACACATTTTTCTGCAACCACGTGTTCACGGAAGGTAAGATTTCTTCATGTAACATGTCTAAATTTTTTTCAATGCTACAAATTTACTAAGTGATTCCGAATTGCTCAGCATCTGTTGCAAGGTCATTTTAGCACTCAAAACCGAATTAAGACAAAATATCGTATACAAATGACTGATAAACATTTGAGCAACCTAAAGAGAAAAGCTGATGAAAAACAGATATAGAACGTTTTCCATATGATGATGTGGCAAAAATATTCAATGCTTTAAAAATTAGAAGCTGTTAAAAATGTATTATAATTAACGAAATATTATTTTTCCAAGTCTATTCGCTTTTTTTTTAATTTTTAGAAATCTCACTTAACTTTTTGAGATCTCACCCTGTTTTTGAGAAAGGGTGAGAAATTCTCTCTCATTTTTTTTCTGTAATGAAAACACTGAACAGTGTATGAAAAACTAGAAAATTATTGTCTTTTTTAATTTTAACTAGCTTTCAGCAAAGTTTCGTGAGACTGGACTTACATGTGTTATTGAAACAAGTTCCTAAATTTTAGAACAAAACATTTTCTTAAGATTTATCATAAGAGTAAGAGACATTTTTTTACCATCCAGTTAAAAATATAAAAATACTGCAGTCAACACTTAACGATTTGGAATAATTTATTCAAAGGATAAATCTTCATACAACCATTATTCAATATTGTTAAATAAACTATATTGCATAACAAACCTGCTTAAGCCTACCTGACCAGTCACTGTACAATTTAAATAATGCACCTTCCATCTGCCGTAACGCTTGTCTCTGCTGTCCTTCAGTTTCAGCATTCAACAAATCTGCTAATGCTTCAACTTCTGTAAGATCCAACTTACCAGCAAGGAAAGCCCTATAAAAACACTAATTATTTTATTTGATTATGCATAAGGCATATGCATGTACACGAGGGGCCTGCTTGACCCTCCTCCCCCCCCTCTTATTAGCTTTCAGAATTTCCATTGAAAAAATGTATTTCTATATTTTTATCTAAGGGTTCTTATTGTTCGATAAATCGTTAAAAAAATAAAGATATCACTAATAATTTAATGTAAAAAGATACTTTGAGGTAGAGATTGTTGAATGATTCATCCATATTTAGTAGCATGAATTATACAATGAAATGTTATGAAAATAAACTGTTTTCAATAATTTTGCTAGTAATCAGAGCGATTTGTTTTAATGATGATGGGATCATATTTTTCAGATTGCAACTACAGGGAAATAGGTAACCCACATTGTATGTGGCAATTTTCTATTTTCATATTTACTATTGGTGATTTTTTTTAATGATTATTTTAGAACAATTTTTTAAATATTTAATTGGATGCAAACTAAAGCTTACAAATGTGGAGAACATTAAAACCTAAAGATATTATTGAACATGAAAAATATATGAATATAAAGTTGACTCTTGTGTAATATTTTTCTAATAATCTAAATCTCTTCATTAAATGATTTTAGATATAAGAGCTCAGCTTAGTTAGATATCATAATCTATAATTAGAGCTGTCATTCGTAGAATAATAAAAAACTGAAATTTTAAGGAAAGGATTATTTTTTATTTATTTATTTATTTTTTTGAGGAAAAAAAATGAAATTTTTAAACTTGGAGGAAACTTTTAATAAAGACATAAATTATCAAAACATTTTAAAATATTTCCTTTAAACCAGTGATAATAGCTCCTTGATAATGACTTTAAATAATAAGTTGAGTATTTCTTTAAACATACTCTTAACATTCTATAGAGAACCTGCTAGACTTTGGAAGCTAATGGTTCTACTTTTCTACTATAAGTGGTCACAATTTAAAATAATATGAATCTGCCATTTAAAGACACAGAATGACTAAAAGAGAATATTTTATGATTATGAAAGAAATGCAAGCAGTAATTAATTACTAAATTACTTTAATATCACTTTAGAATAACAACAAATAATGTGAAATGATCATGTTTTCATTGAGAAATAAAATATTACAATAGATTATTGAAATACAAAAATAGTTTTCTAGAAATTTGAAATAAAAATTTTGTGTCTCAAAGGATGCACCATAACTTTATTTTTGAATCCCCCCAATGTTTTGTGTGTTTCATACGCTGTAACATATAAGCAGAATCACTGATTTAATGCAATAAGAACTCAGAATTTAAAAAATAATATTAGTTGAAGAATGAAATAAATTTATGTTAAATACAATAAAGTTACTATTGCAATAAATAAAACAAAAATAAATAAAATAAACAACACAAAACTCTTAACATTTTTAAAATACTATAATAACTAACCTCTTAGTAAATTCACCCGGTTCAGCGAAACGAAATTGTTGAAGCTTGGAAAGAGCTGTTAACACACTTTTAATTACTGCAGTCCCTCCATGGATATGCAATTCACAAGAATCTTCGCCAGTAAAACTGTTCGGAGCTGCAAAAAAAACGAACAACAGTATTGTAAAATAAAAATTATTACACCTTATCTTTTTAAAAATATTTTACTTCAACAATTAAATTAATTTAAAATAATAGTTAATGATATAAAAACAGAAAATTATTTACATTGAATAAATACAGACAGAGGAAGAATAGGTATGTTGAAACAGACTCAATTATTTTTCTATTAAGATTTTTTTTCATTACTATATTCCATTACTTCCTATAAAATTACAGGCGCACAGGCATCTTTCAGAAATTTTATAAGATAATATAAAAAAATTATTATTTTGAAAATCATTTTAATGACTGAGATTGTCAATCCTGAACTTTTGGCATTTTGCTTTGATGTAATGAAGTCTGCAAAATTTAATTCGCTTTTTAATTTTAAAAATACTTTCACTCTCTGCCACTGAATCAAGGAAGTGGTTATAACAAGAATATCAGATATAAATAAAATGATGCATAATAAAAATTTCTGATTATTATTATTATTTGTAAATCCTCATTTAGAAAAGCATCATCACACCAGTTTAATGAATTTAACGAAATTTATGTTTAAGATTTTGAAAAAAAATTTGTTTTTTGATGATAGGATCTTGTGAAAGATACTTTTTTTCAAGATGGGTCAGAGATTTATAAAAGGTCCAAAAAAATCACTATTTATTTCCAGAGTTGGCAAAGTTTAGGACAGAATGGATTAATCCACAGTTTAAACCAGGGTTTAATGCATTTTGTCCAAAACCCCTCTGTCTTAAACCCTTTTGCTCAAATTATGTCATAATTTTTAAAAAGTATTGTGAAAAATAAAATGTTAATTTTTGAACAAGAAACAAAATGAAGACATTTTTTTTTTATTAAAAAAGTTTATTATTATTTTTAATACTGCATTCTTTATCCTTGTGCGAAAACATAATTTATCAGTAATAAAAGCATATACATTCATAGTTAAGGAGGCATTCAATTTTGTTGTTCAATGAATTGTGGATAGTCAAAAGTTATAAATCTTTTCCTGTTATATTATTTTCGTTCAATAAGTTTAAGCAAATTTGCAAATTGTATAAAAAGTATCAACTATTTATATGTAATTATTATGTGTACAATGTTAAACATATAGAATTTTTACCTTTTACCAATCAGGGGTCTGTCCAGACATTTTGTGAAAGGTCCGTTTTTCGTGAAATTGTGAAAAAATTACTCACATTCTTTCAACCAGGGTCCGCTTTTATGAATTTGTGCAAATAGGGTCCGTTATTGCAAAAAAAAAAATTTTTCAAGGAGTTTTTAAATTGTAAAGACATACAAGATTATGCTCAACACTGTAAAATTATAATTAAAAAAATTAAATTTTAAAAAATAAACAACAATTGCTGCTTCTAAATTAGAGATGCAACATACAAATATTTGGTATTTAGCCTATACTGCTGAACGCAGAATATTCATTTCGGACGAATAATGGAAGAATCGTCTGCCGAAGACAAAACTTAATTCGTTTACATCCATCTTTCTTGTTTTCTGCCCTGGAAAGGGTTTATTCGATTAACAAAATAATAATGAAGATAAACAAATTTGTGAAGGAAGGGTCCATTTTTAAGTTAAAATATTTTGTGAAGGGTCCGTTTTTAAGTTAAAATATTTTTTGAAGGGTCCGTTAACGGACCCAAATTTCTTCTAAACAGACCCCTGCCAATGTTCAAGTTTTTGGATTCTTTAAGACAGTTTTAGTCAGTTTAGGACAATTTAAGACAATTTAGGACAGTTGAAGACAATACAATCCATGTGTCCTGTCCAAAACCAGTTTAGGACGTCCAAAACCCCAAACTATTTCTAAATTGATCACTGAGAAATGATGCATTAATAAAATAAAATAAAAAAAAAATATATATAAACAAAATATAACATACAAGGAAACCAAAGCGTCAAAGCTTTGTCTAAGAGTTCACCAGTTTCTGGATCTCTTAATTTGCATAATATCGCCTTTCTTGCTGGGGGAGGGTCAGTCAGTTTGCCCATTTTCAGAAGTACATTCAAAGCATGAGGTCCAGATATTCTTACAACAGCAATAGCAGATACCCCAGGGGGAGTGGATAATGCAAAAATTGTACTTCTGTTTAAATAGCAATAACTTCTACTAACAGGAGAGCTTACTTTATTCAAGGAATTTTGCAGCTTCATATATATGGATGATAAATGATACAGAAATTCTAAAAAAAATTATAATAAATTATTAACAATTTAAAACATAATTTTTGCTTATCTTTTAAAGGAATATTGTTACAAGGTAGATATTAGATAAGAAACTTTTACAGGAGTGTATAGCAATTGTATAACAACCAGACATTTTTTTAAAGGTCCTGTTTTTGTAAAATTGTGAAAAAACTATTTCTAATTTATGAATATAAAATAAGCGTTAAGTCACATTCTTTCGACCAGGGCCCTGCTTTCGTGAAATTGTGCAAATAGGGTCCTGTTATTGCTAAAAATCTTTTCGAGAAGTTTTTAAATTGTAAATCGATGCAAGATTCTGCTCAACAATTGCTGCTACTAAATTCGAGATTCAACATACAAATATTTGGTATTTAGCCTATACTGTACAACAGAGAATATTCATTTCGGACGAATAATGGAAACAAAATCACTTACATTTTTAATAACTTCAATTGAGATATTTTAAATAACACAACTTAGTTATGTATCACTTTTAATGTGTTACACATTAAGTAAATTTAAACAACTCTTAAATTTATAATATTTTATTCAAAAAATTGTCAGAGGTTAATATTTATTTATATAATATTCTATTAATTAATTTTACGAATAAATATAAATTGATCAATTATTTATTAACAAAAAAAATTATCATTTAATATCAATAAGAATAAAGACACAATGTTTGAAAATATAGAAATATTTTCTTATATTACAACATTTGAAATTTAAACTATGGAAAACTTAGTTTGTTTCGAACCGTTTTTTTTCTTCTTCTTCTTCCTTCTTCTCCCCCGGGAAGGGTTAATTCGATTGACAAAACAATAATGAAGATAAACAAGTTTGTGAAGGGACTGATTAAAAGATAAATTATTTTGTGAAGGGTCCATTAGCGGACCCAAATTTCTTCTAAACAGACCCCTGCTAAGGCACTAAAGAGTTTTTGTACTTGTAAACTTAATCACAGAAAGGCACCAATTCATAGACAAATCTTTTCATGTTTATTTTTTCTTTTAAATCTTGCAAATCTGAAATCCATTTGGCGCCTTGAAGATTGCAGCTGGCGTGAAAGATCATGATACGGAAATATAACCATTATTAGTAAAGGAAATTGACTTTTATGAGTAGTTCTACAAGTTGGTCCCCTTTTGTACTGTTTTTTTTCGCATGCTACTTCCCTACTGTGCCCAAAACTCTGTAACTTTTTAGATGCTGTTACAGAAACAGAAATCTTCTTTTCTACAGTATTGAAATGGATTTAGTTCAGTGTAAGATTACAAGATGTTGCGTTTCTTTGACGCTGTGAATTATTTTTTATAAATGATGCCTTATAAAGGAAACTAGCTTTTACAAATATTCATGGCCCTCCCAAATAAAGTCTCATTGCTAGAAACATTGAAGATATAGTAACTCGAATTCCATAAAATTAAGTCAATTTCATAAAAATTTTAAAATTTAACATTGAAATTGAAAACGAACAGTAATTGAAAATTTTTATTCCTAAAATTTACAGCACGTGTTAAAAATCACTATTTGGATTACTATTAAAAACAAATGAATTATATTTATGTAATTAAAAATTGTGGATGCTAGTGAAATAAATAAAAGTCTTACTACGACCAAAATCGACGTTCATATCACAAAACTGAAAGTAAAAACTCAAATAAGGAAAATGTCAGAGATCGGTCTTTAGATGTGTAATAGCTTTTAATAACATCTAATAACTTTTTTCTAATAAAAAAGTAGCATTATCAAAAATCATAGAACCAGATGATGAAGGGTTCAGAGCGTGCTGCTCCTTTGTTTGTAAACAAAAACGTTAGCTACAGCTACAGTGAAGATTCCTTCATTGAAATATGAAAAGTATTTTTCTTTTAATCATTGAAATCATGAAAATTTCACATTAATAAAGTACAAATAAACCATGGATTTATAAGAATTATAATTCAAAGTGCATTTCTCTGCAATCAATACGTTTGGTTTTCCTTCCGAATATTTATTGAGGATTAAATGGCATTAAATTATTAGTATTTGGCGCGAAATATATGTTGACATATTTTCGGCGGTTTTATAAAAAGTTGTTAAGAGTTTTAATTTTTGTATGTTTTATTTTTTCAATTTAGTTTTAGAATGTTAGATCTATCTATTAAAGTTCCAAAAGTAGTATGTCCATCGGATTCAAAGGGCCATATTCAGGTTTTCTTTTTTCCAGTATTATTAATTAATTTTTTATTGAAATTATTTTTGTAAAAGTTATATTTTTATGTTTAGGTGATATTCGGTCCTATGTTTTCTGGAAAAACGTAAGTAATTTAAAATTATTGCAAAGCAAATATTCTTTGTAAAATTTTGTTAGAAGTATTTTGATAATTATTAAAATATTTAAGAAATAATAAGTTCAGTGTTTCAAAAGTTAATAATGAAACAACTATAGTTTTACAACATATTACTACATTTTATGCTATGCTTTTTACCTCAGCTTTACTATGAATTTATTTTAACCATTGTAATAAATGCTAAATCTCATTAAGAATTTAATTCAAAATAAAATATTTTAATTTAAGAAAAATGAATTTATTTGTCAACTAGGATACTAAATTAGGCGATACTTCGTACCAGTACTGAATTATGTATGTGTGTGATCTACATATAGTATTTTACCTATAAAATATACATAATATATTTGAAAATAATGCTTTAATTTCTTATACAATATGTGATAAATGCATATTAAATTGTTACAGGACAGAGTTAATTCGTCGTCTTAAGAAGTATGAAATTGCTAACCATAAGTGTCTCATAATTAAATATCCACATGATTCCAGATATGGAGAGTCAGGAATCAAAACCCATGACAAGTGAGTGACTATCTAATGTACCAAATATTAGGTTTAATATTCTTAACTTTTATCTTTATACTTAGATTTTTTTTCTCTCATAAGTTTCTGTAGAAACAAGGACAGTCTATAATAGAAATCTTAAAATAAAATGAGGATATTTTCGTCTAATTTTTTAAAATACTCATTACAGAATAATTTTGTTTTAACTTGCGTATTTAACTTAATTTGTTTGCACATTCTTTGTCTAAAAATATTATATTCATTTTGAAATATTGGATCTACATAATGTGTTGACATACTTTTACCTGATGCACGTTAAATCTGTCGAGTTTCAAAGTCCTCCATGTTCCCATAACAAATCAATACCTCTGGGGGTACTGAATTGGAGAGTGATAGTTCTCTGATTCAGGTCAAAATTACGATCTGTGGAGGAATAAATGGGTCCGCCCTGTAAACGGGTGTGACGTATGGGTGTAGCAAAAGTAGAATTCTTGGCCATAGATGGCGCCACTGGAAAACAAGAACAATCTCACCCCCTCTGCCTTAATGGCATACGTCAACAACAACATACTTTTACAAACCCTGAAGGATTTACACCCAAAATAAATTATAAACTATAAATGTAACATGTATGCATATTGTACTTAATTTGTTATATATATATACAGTGTTTTCACTACAGCGCGAGAATCTCGCATATTTTTTTCTTTTCTCGCATTAAAAAATTAGTGCAGCGAAAAATTCGCGCATTCTATAAATCAATTTCAAAGTTCGCGAATTTCTCGCATTTTGAAAAAAGCTAATTCGAATTACGCCATTTAGAATAAAAGCCATTTCACTTTTCTTCCTGGATCTTTCATTATTTTCAACACCTGCCCCATTCTCTAGCTTCCCTATTTACCAGTATTGTTCAGAACCTTTTCAAACAGCAGAACACAACCACGGAACCCCTTTCAGAACATATTTCTCTGCAACCACGTGTTTACCGTAGGTAAGGTTTCTTCATGCAAGACGTTCAAATTTTTTATGCACTTATGTAAGATGGACAAATACCTTGTAAAGGCAAAATCTTCTATGATGATGCACCAAAAATATTCAATGCTTTAAAAAATAGAAGATGTTAAAAATGTATTATAATTAAAGAAATGATTTTTTTTCAAGAGTTTTTGTGTTTTTAGAAATCTCACTTAACTTTTTGAAATCTCACCCTGTTTTTGAGAAAGGGTGAGAAATTCTCTCCCATTTTTTTTCTGCAATGAATACACTGTATATATATATATGTATAAGTAATACAGTAGGGAACCGATTATCCGGAACGGTCGGGACCAACGCTATTCCGGATAACCGATTTTTCCGGTTTTCTGAATCGCTAGAAAAAGCCGTTTTTTTTATTGTTAAACACAACTAAAAAAAAAAAAATTGGAAATAATCTTAAAAGTAAGAAAAAACGATGAAGTAATACACTAATGATTATTTCCAAAATGTTGCTAAGGTAAACATCTTTAAAAAAAGAAAAAAAAATCGTAAACTCTTATGAGGAAAAAAATTTTTTTTAAAAAAATGGCGAAAAAATTTATCGAATATCGTTCCGGTTTTTTGGTTTTCCGGTTTTCTGGGTTCCGGATAACGGGTTCTGTACTGTACATTATAATTTTGCAATATTATATTAATCATGTACTTTTTTTTCATGTATTTAGTTTGTTTTTATGAAATTTTATTTGCAAATATCAGATAACTATAATAAGTTTTACTTCATGTAATTTTGTACAAAAAGTTACAAAGTTGAATTTATAANGTAATACATTATAATTTAGCAATATTATATTAATCATGTACTTTTTTTCATGTATTTAGTTTGTTTTTATGAAATTTTATTTGCAAATATCAGATAACTATAATAAGTTTTACTTCATGTAATTTTGTACAAAAAGTTACAAAGTTGAATTTATAAAATAATAAGATAATTTAAAAGAGTAATTTGGTTTCAATAATTTCAAAGTAAATTATTTGGAAGTGTTAAAATGAGAAAAACTAACTTGATATAAAGAGATGCTTTTTCAAGAGGGCCCAATCTAAAAAATTCCATTGGGTTGGATATAATTTGGTTTGATAATTGCAATGAAAATTGTTTGGAAATGATTAAATGTGAAAACCAACTTGTTGATGTAGAAATAGAATTTCTTTTTTTTTTTTCCAATTTGAAAAAACTTATTCTGTTTTTCTGAGCTGAGCCCACCTTGGCAATAGATTATCTATATAAGGTAAATGAAATTTATTAAAATTAAAAAATTAGTAAGGTCAGAAAGCTTTCATCATTTCTAAATATGATAAATCTATCATTTCCGATAATGACATTGTAATTTATAACTAATTGTATCTGCAGGTGATATATATATTTCAACTTCTTAATTTTCTATTCTCTTAAAGTTCAACACATTTACTTTTTCAGTTACGGATTACTATATTTGTTTACTTTTAGACTGATTTCAGGATTTCTGTGGATTAGCTCTTTAAAAAAAGGTTACATTCTGATGTTCATATCTTGTCTCTCCTATAGCTTTGCATTTATTGTTAGTTTATGTTAGTCTGTAAATTCTGTTTCTGATGGTCATAATTCTTTTAACCTTTATATTTTGCTATTTTAAAATTAAAATTTTTAGTTTTTTTTAAAAGTTAATTGACATTAATTTAAAATGAAATAACAGTGTTCATTACGTTAGTTAAGTAGTGTTTTCCAATTCTACGTTAGGAATCTTTTAAAATTTATTTTTTAGGCAAACACTGAATGCTGTCCTGACTAACTCCCTCAATGATTTAAAAAGTGAAGCTTTGAATCATAGCGTTATTGGAATTGATGAAGGACAATTTGTAAGTTTCTTTTATGTTTTTTTTTATACAGTTTTGATTTTTGAGGGACAGACAAAAGAAAAAAAAATTAGAATATATACTTTTATATATAATTACATATTGGTAAGTTGATGAATTGGGGTGCATTTCTTAAGTGTTCAATTTAGACAGGTTGCCATTTATAGAAGGAATGAGTCCTTTCTTATATCCTATCCTTATATATATGCCATGTTATTTATGCCACTCTTATAATTCATATGTTTCTCATACATTTCAAAATAAAGTTACATGGTTTCATAGCCTTTTTAAAAAGTGCTTATTTTTGATTTTCCTTTTTTGAAAGCCCTTAAAGGTGCTTTTTTCATTGGGTGTTTTTAAAAAGTGCTTAATTTTCCCTTTTTCAAAATGAGATTTTTCCTTTGCTATGTTGATTTTCGCATCGAATTATGCAAAAAGACACAGTTCACGTTTTTCTATTCAATGCTTTCACAATTAATTCAACCCCAATCTATTTCGGTCAGGGTTGGGTTTTTGACATGACAGTGGTAAAAACCGCGTTTTTACCGGTAAAAACCGTCAAAAACCTACTGTTTTCTTTAATTTATGGCATATAGCGGACAATATATTATTTTCACATAATTGCCTTTATAAATGAATGTTGTAAATGATTGCTATTGATTTTGCAACTATATACATGTATTCTTATAGAAGGATATACATTCATACAGAAATATTGTACAGTAGGGAACCGATTATCCGGAACGATCGGGACCATCGCTATTCCGGATAACTGATTTTTCCGGTTTTCTGAATCGCAAAAAAAAGCCGTTTTTTTTCATTGTCAAACTCAACTAAAAAAAAAATGTTTGGAAATAATCTTAAAAAGAAGAAAAAACGAGGAAGTAATACACTAATGATTATTTCCAAAATAATGGTAAAGTAAACATCTTTCAAAAAAGAAAGAAAAATTCTAAAATCTTAATAGGAAAAAAAATTTCTTTTAAAAAAAAATAACGGGAATATTTATCGAATTTCGTTCAGGTTTTTTGGTTTTCCGGTTTTCTGATTTCCGGATAATGGGTTCTGTACTGTAATATACTTATTGAAAATAGTGATACTTACTTTTATCATTATAGCTTGATTTGCAAAGGATTCAAAATTTTGCACTTCTTAATTGTTAGAAATAAACAAGCAAACAAAAAAGCTTGGAACTAATAATAAGTTCAAGAACTAAAAAAAAGGATTAAAAATTTGGCATTTCTTAAATATTAGAAATAAGCTAAACAAAACTTTCAAAACTTGTAACTACTTACAAACTCTAAGTCAAGAATGACTTGACATTCTTCAGTAATGTAATATGCCAAACAAAATTATGCTTTGAAATGTTGAAAATTTTGTTTAGTATCCTAATATTTTACTTCAAATAGTATGTTTTGATATAATCATGTTGGGAAAATGCAAGAATCTGTTCTTAAATATCTTTTAACAACTTTTTTTTAAATTTTATTGCCCAAAAATGAATTTATTTTAAATTATAAGCAGTTAAACTCAAATAAAAATGCAGTTTTACCAAAACTATGGGTTTTTGACATGATGGTAAAAACCATGGTATAAACCGATAAAAACCGTCATGTGTCAAAAACTTGCCAACCCTGATTTCGGTGTATTGTCAGTGCGTAGAGTATGAAAACAACATTCCTTTTACTTGATTCAAAATTTCATGATTTTTAACAAATATAAAAAGCAATGCTAAAAGGTTTTTTTTTTTTTTTTTGACATGATGGTTAAGACAAGATAAAAGCGTCAATTGTCAAAAACTTTCCAACCCTGACTAGTTATGATATTTTTTAAAGTGCTTAAAAATATTTTTTGAGTGCTTGAAAAATGCTTATTTTTTGTTGAATAATTTGGCTACGCACCCTGAGTTAAATGTAGTTTGACTGTTTTTTTTAACCCAACTTTTAAAATTTTATATTGTGTAATTAGAAAACAATTTTAAAATTTACTTTGTAATACTTACAAACCTATTTGTTAAAAAAAGTTGTCATAAGTTTTTCTTATGGTTAACTCAACTAGGCTTAGTTTAGCTTTAATGTGATTTGATTAATCCAGTGAAATTTTAATGCAATTACAATAGTATAGAAAATTTGCTGAAAAAGTTGCTCATTTTCCTAGCAACTTATGAAGGGTTTAGAATCGCATTCATCAACACCCTTAGACAAAGTTAATTTATGTCAGTGGTCAACATACAAAATTGTTAAATGATCCGGTTACAAAAGTTTTAATACCTCTGGCAGTATTTAAATATTATGTGAGCACACCTAAGAGGGGAGGAGGGGGCTTGGAAAGAAAGTCAAAGATATGCTTACATATTATTCGAATGATCTCTTATATAATATCTAGGATAAATTTGGTGACTGGTAATAACAACTTAGACAAATAATCAAGTCGATAAGTTTTATTTTATTTTGCACTTAAATTTACATTAAAATGTCAAACCCGAGTGTATAATTCTTTTGACATTCGTTATAAGGACACCTTAAGTTATATGTTGCAGTGCTATATACTTAGGTTTTTTGATATACTAAGACCAGAGCCGGATTATACCTTTCGTAGGCCCTAGGCATAGCCGTTTTTGGGCCCTCCTTCCCCCACTCCTCCCCTCTTTTCAAAATATATGCTAAAATTTTCTTGCATATTTTTTTTTACATTTTTATTAATATGGATTTTAATTTACAAATTTGTTTATCGAACTTTATCTGCAATATATTGACCGATTTCGATATTGCAGTTGATATCGATAATACCATTATGATTAGTTTGATCGATAACTATGTAAACACTTCACGTCAACAATACAACAACAAACCAGCAAAGAAAACAGCGAAATTGATAGTGAGATTAGTTACAAGAAATATTTATACTACAAATAGCTTCATAGTTTTCATTTTTTTCTTCTTCCAAGTTTTTCGTAGGCCCCTGAATTTCGTAGGCCCTAGGGTATGTGCCTAGTGTGCCTATAGGTTAATCTGGCCCTGACTAGGACTCTAAACTATTCTTTTACTTTATATTTTCTAATCCGCATTTAATTTTAAAAAAAATAAAATAATTTTACAGTTTCCTGATATTGTTACATTTTCTGAAGAAATGGCAAACAGTGGAAAAATTGTTATTATTGCTGCTTTGGATGGAACTTATCAAAGAAAAGTAAGATAACATTATCAATAATAAATTAAAAAAACAACTCATTAGATACAGTCACTTCCACTATGTAAAACGAATCATACATTTAAGTATGATATTTTTAAATCTAATTTTCTGGTTTGTGCTTTTATATGTTAAAGGGATTTAGCAGCATTCTTCAGTTGATTCCTCTTGCTGAAAGCATCATCAAACTCAATTCAGTCTGTATGCTTTGTTATGAAGATGCATCTTATACAAAAAGGATAGGAACTGAAACACAGGTAATTACGTTAACTAAATGAGACATAATTTAAATTAATTGAATTGGTATCATTACTTAAAATGTATCTAGTAAATTAGATTTATTGTAATTTATGCATGTATCTTATCGATTGTTTGTTGTCTAAATTTTAGTTGTTTTTCTTACTTTTTGTTTATTTTCCAGCTTGAAATTATCGGTGGTATAGATAAATACATGGCAGTTTGTCGCAATTGTTTTAAAGATGATGCACCCGCAGAAAGTAAATTAGAAGAATTGAAGATAAAAACCACAAATGATTCTGAATTGATTGCTGAGAAAGAAAATCAGTGTAAATGTTAGTTATATGCTTGAAATGACATTTTAGGATGACTCTTGTTGCACAAGACTTCTTTATAATTTGCACTACTCTCTATTCTTGTTTAAAACAACTTTGATCTATGCTAAACTGCATGCTATTTTTTTAAATTTATCATAGAATTGTATATACACATTCATAATCATTGTGATCATATTTATGTAAATGTTTTTAAAACGTGTGATCTTTTATGTCGGTGATCTTATAAAGTTTTATATCTAATAAATAATTTTACAACATTTATTGAATAATACAATTAATAAAAATATTTAAAGTGTAAGAGTACATTTTATGTATCCTACAGGTAAACAAGTTCAAATTTTACACAGAAACTTGACTTCAACATATCAGTATTGTTTATGTTTTTCCAAATAAATTTTAACAATAATACTTTTTATTTTACTACTTTAAAATCGTCTAAGTGACTAAATGGCAGTGAATTATTACCAAGTTCTGATTAATAATATATATAATAATAGTTCTGATTAAATAACTGCTTCATTTGATAAGTTTTGTTGAGAATATTATTCAAATTTAATGGTTATTTTATATCAATTAAAATTAACTATAAACTTGAAGTTTTGTGATTGATATCTTATGTTTGTATTAACTATAAAAAAGAAAAAAAAACTTATTATTTCGAAAAATTATAATTTAAAACTGTTGAGACATATCTGAAATCCAATTTTTAATTTTACTATGGTTAAATTTTTATTTGGATAGAATATTGTGTATAATAAGCAAATATTCCAAATACTGAAGACAATTGTTTCTGACAACAAAGATTTAGAAAAGTAAAAGGTGGGTACTGCTGCTCAGCTCTGTGACTTAATTTCATAGGTGCCCACAGTGTAATATTAAATGTGCAACACTTCTTGGTTCTTCTGAGATCAAGAACAAGAAGTTCAGTGCTAGCTGTTAGAAAAAAATTTAATTTAAAACAGTTATCTCTATGTTTTTTTAAATTGATTACTAGCTTTATTTCCTTTTAACAACTACAAATGCTAATTTTTTTTTTTTGTTTCCGAAAAAAGAAAGCTTTCAGAATGTCAAATAAATGTATAATTTTGTATTACTACTGAAAATTTCCTTAATTTAATGTCGCAAAAATACGACCATGATAAGAACCTATTTTTTATTGTTGCGTGTATAAACTTTATATAGCCTATAATAAATTTGTAATTAATGAATGTAAAGAAAAATCGTAGTATATCATGGAAAACAGGGCGGCCACATACACTTGGTAAAAAAGTTCTGACTGTATAGAATTTCTATGATTTTTGTAACTGGTCGCATAGATTTTATTATTAATTTTTCAAATATGCCTCATTTTTAAACATAAAATATATTTCAAAACACGTATACCTGTTACTGAAGTTAAATTAAACAAATTTAAAAAAAAAAAAAATAGTTATTACCAAACCGAATTTTCGAGAAAAAAAAATATCAATCTTATAAGTACCACAAACATTAATATTTTGAGCCTTTTAGTTAAAATCCCTGATTTTTTCGAAACAAAATTCAGACATTTCCCTGTTTTGTGGCCTTGTAAAATTGTGTATTTCAAATGACTTATCTGCTAACATCATATAAAAAAATAAAGGATGGGTTCATTTTGTTTTAAAAATATTTACAGACAGATTGAATCTCAAACAAAGCCCAATCAAGTTATATGCATGAGATGAGAGTATGAACAATTTAGAACCATGTTTCAGAATTAAGAAAATAAAGGGGAATTCGACTATCGTATTTTACTTGCAATTTTATTGCAGTTAAAAATTTTATTGTGAAAACTAATTTTGGTTTTCAGTGAATACAAATTAATAGAAAAACAACATATTTAGATAAGTAACATTAATAAATTTTTTAAGCAAACGCATAACAATACATAAACAATAGTTATTTGTAATAAAAAATCTTGATCAAAATGAGAGTTCTTGCAAGAGTATATGAGTAGTTATCCAGGAATTCGATCCACATATCCACAAACTAAGTTGGCAGGCACTGCTTTGTCTTAAAATGGAAAATGTACATGAATATAAAAATGTAGCTATTTTTTGTAAGACAGATGTAAAGCAAAATTTTACATACCTATCATTTTGGGATAAGCAAGATTTAAATTTTTCATAATTTCTACAAATTCCTCTTTACTTTTTGTTAAACGCAAATTATATTTCTTCTCCTCATCAACTGAAGTAACGGTATTGCCTTAAAAAAAAAATAAAAAAAAGGATTAATGTAGCTTTATAATTTTCTTATTCATATGAAATAAAAAAATAGTTAAGGTAATTGAGCTTAGTGACACATGAAAAAATTTTAGTTTCCAAGTTTAGGATCATGTTTTGAGCGATTAAATATATTAAGATAAGTCTTTAAATTGGCAGTTTTCAATGTAGATAGATTTTGTATCAAGTCAAAGAGCGCAACTGGGAAAAATTTTTTACCCAATTTTTCTTTCTTCTAATGAACACTTGCTGAAATTTTAACATAAATGATGATAGTTTTGCTACTAAATAGTAATTTAAATATAAATTTTATTACTTTGTAGAGATGGTTATGAATATAAATAAAATAGTTAAAAGATTTTAATATAAAAAGATATATACATTTATAATAAGAGTATATAAAAAACCAAGATTTAACAAAGGAGATACAGAAATATAGTAGGAGAAAAATAATTGAGTAACTTTTCTTCTGTAACCAATTGGGTACAGCTTTTTATTATTTCTTAACGCATGACTTGTTTAATGGAAAAATAGCAATTTAAGATTAATAAAAATACAATTTTTAAAAAACATCATCAAAAGTCCATAAAAAAAGTAACTCTTGTCCAGAGACAACTGCTAGTTTTTTTTTTCTACCTTTAAATATTTTTTAATATTTTAAAGCTTATCTTTCTCAAATTCACTAAAATGTAACTTGAAAATATTTTCTCACAATCTACAAATAAAAGTTTAAATATTACGCTAAAATAAAATAATCTGGGTATTAAACCTGTGATAAATGGTTAACATGTATGTCCTTAGGATAACGTATGAAAAAAAGTTAAATCTAAGTTTCATTATTTTAAGTTAAAGATTAAAATCTTACTCGATTAAAGGCTTTCAGTTCTAACTAATCTAGGCCTAAAACTGAGTAGTAACTCCATATTTTTTTTTGTTCTTATATTTGCTTTATTAAGAGTAATAAGTCTTTAAGTTCAATTTAAAAAGAAGAAAAAAAACGTAGTAGAAGAGTGCATCTTGATTTACGAAAAAGTGCAGACCTTCCTATAGACCTTATTTGTTTTGATTTCGCTTTTAATATTTGTTTTTCTAAACTTAATAATGTAAAAAAGGCAACTATTAACAAAAAATAGAAGTTATATATTAAATGCCAAATAAGGATGAAAATTTACAGTAAGGGTATGAAAACAGATTTGTATAACTGTATTGTCCAAAAATGATTTAAAAATTGTAGTCTTCAAACAAATAATTTAATAAAAAACGTTTAGATAATTTTATAAATAATGTGTAGATGAAAATAATATATTAATCAATAATTTTCACAGGTTCAAAAGCTGATAAAGAATACCTTTATAATCATGAGCAAAATATAATAAATAATCTTCAGGAAGACTAAAAATTTGACTATGCACTGAATCATACAGCTTTGATGCATCACCTGAAAAATAAGATTGAAAATTTTGAAACAATACAAAATCATCTAATAAATTTTGAATCGTAACATTTTATCAATTGAATACATTGATTCTCTAAATTTAATAAAAAAGATTTATATAAAAAATAATTTAACTATCTATAATTGTCTATTCTTCACAAAATGTCCAATTTAAAATTTTTTACTAACCAATGTCTAGCGAAAAAAAAAAAGTTATTTTCAGAAAGAAGTATATGATATTAAATATTCTTGATATCTTGCTGCAAATTGATGGGCAACTGCTTTTGCAAAAATAAAAAGGTTGTATTTGTGAAAATTTTTTAAATAAAATGTGAAATAGAATACTGACGGAACAATTTACACTTTTATTGTAAATTCTTCATTTTGTCGGGATCAAATTAAAACAATAACTGTAATTAAAGTAATAAAAAGTATTTAACAAAAAGATCAATTTATAGCTGAATATTTATTGTATCATAAAAATAAAAAAATTACCTTCTTGAAAGTCTGTTCGTCCACAACCTCTATATAACAATGCATCTCCAGTAAAAGCTACCTTTCCTTCATGAAAAACATATGTTATACAGCCTAAATAAATCGGAAATGAAAATAAAGTCATTTTGAAGAACAAGTTCCCAGGAAAATGCTATTGGCATTTCATTTCCAATTTGATTAATATAAAAATGTTCATAAAAAAATTCACAGCAAAGATTACTATATAATTTTTTTTTCAAATTTAAGAAAATATTATAGGCAATTTTTTTTTCTTTTTTGCACAAGGACTGTAATAAGATAACTTGTCAACTGTTTTTGTGGTGTACAAATCAAAAGCGTAATGTACAAAATAAATATATATATCTAATGCATTCTCAGAAAGGCATATGTTTATTGTTTTTAAAAATAGGAATTTTATAACAATAATTCTTATATTTAGGCTAAATATAAAAATTAACAAATTAAGTTAAAAAATATCTAAAAAAAGCTTTTATACAGAACTGAAAAATAGTTGAATTTTCTTCTTTATTATACGAGCGCTAAAGAAAGGTTGGCAAGGCAAATAATTTTAAGGTTTGAAATGTATTTATCTTAATATATGTTTATGAAAAAAAATCTATCATGACAGTTGATCAATCTATTACATAAAATAGATCAACAGTTGATCTATTTTAATCATGAAGAAATACCTTTTCTAAGTGTACCACAGAAAGTAGCAATTTATTCCATAATGGACAGAACAGCTATACTGTAAAAGAAATGACCTCAGTGGACTAATTGATTCAAAAATCAATGAATAAAACAGATATTTTTATTATTTAATAAATAAAAATCAGTAAAAAAAAATTTTTTTTTTTTAAACAAAAAAAAAGGTACTATTTTGTTAAAGGGATCATTAACACTTAAATTTTTTTCGCCAAACCAAACATAAAACATTTACCAATCAATAATAATCACTTTCCATTATTTTTAATAATTTGATTAATCAAGAAAAGTGAAAGACATTGCCTGGATTAGCCTCATTGATGTGTTTATTTAAGGGTAAGTGCCACTGCCCTTGGGTATTTCCTCTATTGTCCGTTGAGATAAAGAGTTGCTAATGGTCTAAAATTTGCTCACCATAATTTTTTTACTTCCCCTTCATGCAAACAGTACTAAAAATAAAAAAAATTAATAATAATCTACCATTTGTATGTCCTGGTGTTGGTCTTATTTCCAAATTTATATCACCAACTTTTAAAATCTCCATTGGTTTAAGATGTCGATCTGCTTGAGCACCTGATGTGAGAGATATCACGCTTTGACAGTTTGTTAGAACTTTTTTTATTTCTCCAGTTCCAGTGATATGATCGGCATGAACATGAGTGTTTGCTAAATAAATGTCAATAAATAAAAGTTTTAATAAACTTACAAGTAAATAACTTTGAACAATATATAATTTCGAAAATATAAAGAGGAAAAAAATTCAGTAATGCAGTGTTGGCGGCTCATTGAATTCACCTTTGTTCTGAGACTCTTACATTTTAAAAAACAACTACGGGGTGCAAAGCCAAATTATTCAACAAACAATAAACACTTAAAAAATATTTTTAAGCACTTTTAAAAAATATCATAATTAGGCAGGGTTGGAAAGTTTTTGACAGTCGACGGTTTTATCTTGTTTTAAATGTCATGTCAAAAAAAAAAAAAAACTTTTGGCATTGTTTTTGACAATTGTCAAAAACCATAAAATTTTTAATCATGTAAAACCAACGGCGTTTTCATGGCGGACTGACTATACGCCGAAGATAGGGGTTAAATTAATTATGAAAACGTTGAATAGAACAATGTGAACTGTGTCTTTTTGCATAATTCAAAGGGAAAATCAACATAGTAAAGGGAAAATTAAGCACTTTTTAAAAACACCCAATAAAAAAGCACCTTTAAGGGCTTTTAAAAATCGAAAATAAGCACTTTTTAAAAACGCTACGCACCCTGAACTAGCAGTTCTAAATTTTAGAAATTTCATTGAATATAATAGAATGATCATATTGAATAATTTAATTAATCTTGATAAATTTATTTGATTAAATTTAATAAAATATTATTCTTTTTTTTAGTTCTGGGCAGAAATTCTTTTGTTAAATGACTAACAGCACTGAATGCTTCAGTCCTATGATTTAATTCATAGAAAAACAGAAATATTTAATCTTTTTTTTAAAATTAATTCATCTAATGGTACCATACATTTGAATGTTTGATTCATTCTTACCTAGACCTTCCAACATTTGATTTTTTTTTTGTAGAAAAAATTGAAACCGACAATATAAAAGTAAGACTTGAGACAAATACTTTGACAATCGAGCCATTCACAACAAAAAGTATAAGACTTTTTCAAAAGCAACTGATATTTTTAAGTATTATTGTAAGATTGTTAGTTTGATGAAATAACTATGGTTTGTCTGTACTTTCCTTTAATTCTGATGTGCTAATTTAATCATTTATTTTTATGCTATTTGCACCAAAATGATAGCAAAAAATTGTAAATTAATAAAAAAATACTCAATATAAAAATGTTCCAACTAAGACTCTAGAAAATACATGCTTATTTTAAAGTCTATGCAATATATTATCAACGATATTTGCAAATAACTAAATAGCGGAAAATATTTTTAAAAGTATATTGCATACATACTTTTTGCACCAAAGATCAAACATTAAAGAAGAATTTGTAAGTTGACAAAAAGTAAGAGGTAAAAATAAGAAATACTAATTCTGTTACATATCTATGATTTCTATAAACATCTTAATATAATTTATATTTATGTAATTCATATTAAAAATTTTTAATATCAACAATTTATATTAACAAGAGAAAAAAATTAAAGAAAAAAAACTATATTTTAATTACATAATTTTTATTTATTTTTTTGAATCTCCAATTGGAAATGTAGATGTACTTAGTTTTATTTATTATGTTTAGAATTTCTAAATTTGCAGCTTCTTAATCAATTATCTCTTTTGCCTTTCCTGGTCTTAGGTCTCACATAAAAGGTGACCAGACATTAAAATAACTTACTCTTTTAATTTCTGAAACATTTGACTCACAAAAGTTTGACTTTAATGGCAAATCTATTTTTGTGTATTTGTTTTTAAAATCTAGTGATTTCTAATGAGTTGTTTATAGTCTAGTGATTTCATTAGTAGTGATCACTGTATTAAAAGATAAAAATAAAACATCTATGAAACCATTTTATCGGTAAGTGAAGTGATACAGAAAGAGTTAATTACCAGCATAAAATAGATTTAATCCCAATTCTTGAACTAATTTTATATCCCTGGCAACATGTTCAATAACAGGATCAATAAGTATAGCACTACGAGATTTGGCATCAGCAAGTAAATATGTGTAGGTACAACTAGTTGAATCAAATAGCTGTTCAAAAAAAATGAAAAAGAATTGTTTAGCATACTATAAGGAGTAATTAATTAACTTTATTCAAAAATTTATGATATAACTACTTTTGTTTAAGTATTTCTTTTACTGAACAGGCATGAATATCTAATTCAAATGAATCAAAATTATTTCTAATCTCTATGATAAGTATTTTAAATGTGTAACTTTTCCAATTTTAAATGTGTAACTTTTTCAATTTTTTGGAAGAAAAATAAATTAAGAACATTTCCATATTGGTACCTCTGCAGAAATATTTGCGAAGTTTTTTGACTTCTGGGCAGTCATATAGAAACTAAAGGGAAAAAAAAAAACTTGTATTGAACGTAAAACTTTGGTGAAATATCAGATTTCTGATATAGACATATTTCTGATGAGAGCAACACTAAAATTATATTGATTTACAGGAGGGAAAAGTGTTAGGAATGCGAAAAATTGTCAATTTAATAACATGAATTAATTACAGGTGTCTTTTTTTGATCTAGTATGCGCCTACATCGATTGAGATCAGAGGTGCTGTTGAAAAAAAAATTTATATATTAGGAGAATGTTTATGTGTGAATCTAACTATAAATAATCTTTGCTAATTTGCTTTGGGGTAAGTATGATACTTACTGCAACTTGCTCTCTGGACAGCAAAATATTTTCGAGTGGTAGTTTATTAATGTATGATTCTTGGTTTAATAAATTCAATTTATTAGGCTTTTATCCACCACTATTTCTAAATAATTCGAAGGCTTATATCATTCGCACCCTTGTTACAATTAAGTCATGCTAAACCGTTTAAAAAGTAAGTAAAATTAGTCCAATATTTGCAAACTTTAGTTTGTAGTTTACCGTTTTTTAAACTATTACGGTGCGTCCGGAGCAGTTGTCATCTCTGAGTGTCTCCAAAGGTTCTGTCAGTAGCATTAAAGGAAGAACAGTAATAAGGAATTCGCTTATAGTCCCCCTCAAGCAAACTTCAACATACTAATTGTTTTAAAATTAAAGTCCTTTTAAAATCCCTTTGGCGCCTAGGCAATTGTAGCAACTTGGCAATTCCTGTAATTAGATGCCGATACAGAAATATACCCTTCATATTGAGTTTTCCTATTGAAAAATAAATTTACTGAATTTAATTACAAATGAATTGAATTCAATTGAAGAATAAATAAATAAAAAATTCAGAACCAATTTTACACTTTAGTCAATATAAAATAATATCTTAAAGTGTTCTTGATGTTTTAGAATTTTATCATTTTAAATAGATTAAGAATCTTTTACAAATAAACATAAAATTATATTAATTTAACTGCTATTAATACTCTAAAGTTTTATTAGCAAAAAAAAAATTTAAAATCTTTATAAAGCTTTGTTCATAAAATTATATTAACTTAAGTATTGTTGATGTTTTTTGAAATTTATGAGATGAAAACAAAAAACTACCTGCTATATGCTCAAAAACTAATCTATTAGAAAACAAAACAAAAAAAATTGCAAGTAGGTATTCATTTAAACTTTTGAATATCACTTCAAATGAAAGATTTGCTGTTAATTATAAACCTTATACATTTAATAAATTTATCTTGAAAAAAAATCAGTAGAAACAATATTTTTATAAACTAATATTACTCATACATATAAAGAGTGAGATTAAAAAGAAAGACACTACAATAATTACAATTGTACATCGTGAAATGAAAAATCAATTAAAGCTATAAGAAATATGAATTTTAAAAATTTAAATTTATATGATTTAAGTGAGATTTATTTTCAATAATTTCAAATATCTAATTTGTTGATAGATTTTTTTAGTGAAATGCATTAGTTTATTAATCAAAAAATTTATCAAATACATTTACAATAAACGCAAATACTATATCAAACAATGCAGCATATAGAATAAATGTAAATTTATTTTGTACATGCGATTTATTTGCAAGAATTTCAATTATCTAATTTGTAGACTTCATGTATTTTAGGAAATAGTATTAATTCTTTTGTCAGAAAAAGATAACAGTAGAAACTATAACGTATATTTTACCTGCCGAAATATAATATTCATTAATCTCTTCATTTTTCTTAAACTGGTCAACCACTCTATCTTTCTTTTTCTTTTTTTACATAAAAAGTCACTTAAACTGGAACAAAACAAGTTTAAAATACTAGTAACTATAACTAGGAAATATAATCGCTTAACGTCTCCATTTATTCCTTTCCTGATACCTTCTTAAACAAAGTATTTAATAATGCTTTGGTCAAAATATAAATCTTATAATTATTTTGATAACGTAGAATATTTAAATAACAAATTTCTTTAATAACCAGAAAGGAAGACTTAAAATGTCACTGAAGAAAATAAACAAACGAAAATATCGCAATATTGTACTTTTTGAATCGTGTGAACGGAGTCGGAACACTTTCAACTGTTATACAATATTTTTTTTTATATTTTTGAACTTCAACTGAGAATCCTCTTTCAATGCGAACTTATTTCGAACTTTAGAAGAAACATAAATAGTGGTGACATCTTTTGAGAATTCAATCAATTATTTCTTGGAATATTTAATAAAAAAAATAGATTAAATAAAAAGTCTATGAGAGAAGAAGGAGGGATGCGTGTGTTTTTAGAAAGTATCGATAAAAGTAATAATTAAATATAATTCTAAATAAATAGTAAGTTGATTCATTAAATATCTTTCACAGAAAGCTTTAAACGATTAGAACTTTTGTAGAATTTATACTAAAACATCTAGAAAGTTTAGAATGAAGACATAAATATTTATAACAAAAAAAAAAATATTGAATACAAATCTAATATTGTTTAACTTTTTTCTAACACTATATTTTTTAAATAAAGGGGAGAATTTCCTTATCATGATCTACTCCAAAATAATCGCCAAACAGTGGCTGCTGAAGTATCTCAGGATTAAGGGGGGGGGGGTCCTCCCACTCCCTCTGTGCAATTTTAACTTCATCATTCGAATAGTTTTTAAAATTGTATTAATAAAAGAAATTGTTTGCCTGTAAATAATTATCTCACATGCAACTGTATTTTATTTTTTATTTATTTCACTGTTTATTTATTTTTTATTCTGTTCTCTTTGACATTTGAAACCAGGAATTTTCCCCATCGGTTAGCAAGGGCAGTATATTTCTTCTGCGGGGGATGAGTAAGAAGGGATGATTTAGCAGCAGTTTTCACCAAGGAAATGTTAAAGCTCACTTGAAATAGAGAAATTTGTTTTTAGAATTCACACTAAACAACTATCATTTAAAAATAAAAAAAATTCAATTACACAAATAATGAGTGAAAAATTGTAGTCTTAGAAAGGGGCTGTGTCCTTTCATTTATAAAATGCGAGAGGGTTAAAGCCCCCCCCCCTATCCCTGTCACCAAATTTCGGAACCGACTCCTAGACACTCCCGGGCGAACCTATACGTTTTTTTCTTCTTCTTTTTCTCCAAGTTTAAAAATCTATTTGGCGGGACAGAACTAGATAGGGACATATTTCTGATGAGAGCAACACTAAAATTATATTGATTTACAGGAGGGAAGAGTGTTAGGAATGTGAAAAACTGTCAATTTAATAACATGAATTAATTACAGGTGTCTTTTTTTGATCTAGTATGCGCCTACATCGATTGAGATCTGAGGTGCTGTTGAAAAAAAATCGATATATTAGGAGAATGTTTATGTGTGAATCTAACTATAAATAATCTTTGCTAATTCGGGTAAGTATGATACTTACCGCAACTTGCTCTCTGGACAGCAAAATATTTTCGAGTGGTAGTTTATTAATGTATGATTCTTGGTTTAATAAATTCAATTTATTAGGTTTTTATCCACCACTATTTCTAAATAATTCGAAGGCTTATATCATTCGCACCCTTGTTACAATTAAGTCATGCTACACCGTTTAAAAAGTACGTAAAATTAGTCCAATATTTGCAAATTTTAGTTTGTATTTTACCGTTTTTTAAACTATTACGGTGCGTCCGGAGCAGTTGGCATCTCTGAGTGTCTCCAAAGGTTCTGTCAGTAGCATTAAAGGAAGAACAGTAATAAGGCATTCGCTGAGGTGTGCTCCAGTCATGGATATATCATAGTCGAAAAAGAATAAACTGTTTTTGCCTGAAGNGGGTTAAAGCCCCCCCCCCCCCGATCCCTGTCACTAAATTTCGGAACCGACTCCTAGACACTCCCGGCCGAACCTATACGTTTTTTTTCTTCTTTTTTTCCAAGTTTAAAAGTCTATTTGGCGGGACAGAACTAGATAGGGACATATTTCTGATGAGAGCAACACTAAAATTATATTGATTTACAGGAGGGAAGAGTGTTGGGAATGTGAAAAATTGTCAGTTTAATAACATGAATTAATTACAGGTGTCTTTTTTTGATCTAGTATGCGCCTACATCGATTGAGATCAGAGGTGCTGTTGGAAAAAAATCGATATATTAGGAGAATGTTTATGTGTGAATCTAACTATAAATAATCTTTGCTAATTCGCTTTGGGGTAAGTATGATACTTACCGCAACTTGCTCTCTGGACAGCAAAATATTTTCGAGTGGTAGTTTATTAATGTATGATTCTTAGTTTATAAATTCAATTTATTAGGTTTTTATCCACCACTATTTCTAAATAAGTGGAAGGCTTATATCATTCGCACCCTTGTTAAGTCATGCTACACCGTTTAAAAAGTAAGTAAAATTAGTCCAATATTTGCAAATTTTAGTTTGTAGTTTACCGTTTTTTAAACTATTACGGTGCGTCCGGAGCAGTTGGCATCTCTGAGTGTCTCCAAAGGTTCTGTCCGTAGCATTAAAGGAAGAACAGTAATAAGGCAATCGCTGAGGTGTGCTCCAGTTATGGATATATCATAGTCGAAAATGAATAAACTGTTTTTGCCTGAAGAATTTAAAGTTAAATTAAACTGTGATATTTTGTGAGAAGCAAAGAGAAAAATTTGAAACAAAGAACAAGAGCTTTGGCATTATCCATATCACTGAATTGACTTCATTAGTAAGCTATCGAGAAGAGAAATTAGGGAGCATAGTATATATGTGGTTGGCAGAAAGCTCATTCTTTTGAAGTTACTTAGAAATAGCAGAATTTTTCTTTGGTAAGAAAAGTAGATAACTTGGTTAATTGAAACTGACACATAACTTTATGAGTATAAAGGGGAAATGTTGGTAGTTTCCCCCCTTTTTTTTGTATAATATTGCTCACTTAAACAATATAAAATTGCAATTTCTCTAAAAAAAATAACTCTGCTATAATAGCAATGGCAAGTTAGTAAGCTAGTTAAGAGAGGATCTTACTATTAACATTTTGAGGGTGATTTATTTACTAACGATTAGTAAATAAATAGACAAAGGCAACTCATGGGATCTTTATTTATCTAAAAAAAGCAAACCTCCTGCATGAGAATAAAGCAAAGTTTTTTTAAATTTTTTTTTATTGGATTTAATAATTTGAAGTTACTAGTAATTGTATATAAAATTTAGCATTAAAAAAATTTTACACAACAAACGATAGAAATAGATTTATTATTCATCACAAAGAGGTTGTTGGTAAAAACAGGATATATATAAATTAAATTCATTATCTTGAGCACTTTTATAAATATTTTTAATTTTTTTAAAATTTTTTTCCACAATGCGGAACATTAAACATCAGTAAAAGAATAGTGAAATAGCTCTTTAAAGACCAGTGAAAGCTACAGTTAGCAAAACAAGCTGTTTACAGAATTCAACTTGTACAATTTTTTTTAGACATTCTTACAATTATTATCTAGAATATTTTAATAACATTTATTGGTTTTCATGAATCATAAGATGTTCTAAGACAAATGCAAAATAGGAAGAAATATCTTGATTATGGAAAAAACATGCATTATTTGTTAACATTAAAATATATATATTTAACTTCCACATGAGATTTAATTTAAGCTATTGTTTTTTTCTCCATATACTCTCTAACAGATAACAGCAAGCATTCATATAAGCAAAGAGTGTTGGCACAGAATATTTATTTTTTTTAAATTACAAAAAACAGTATAATTAAGATTGTGCTTATACAAGCATTTAATGTTTTTAAATATTGAACACAAGAATAACTGCTAACCGATTATATAAAAACAATATAGAAGTCTACTTTAAAAATTAAGTCTAGATATATTTTTTTACAGCAACTTTGCATTTAATTTTCGTTATTAAAAATTGATAAAACTTAGATTGGTACAGCTTTAATGTGGTAATTCGAGAACATATAGTTATAAGTACATATAAGTTAATTCAAGTACAAGTAGTTATACACAATAAGCAAACTAACAGCACAAAATAGAAAGTGGAATTTCAAAAATTAAATAAATCCATAAAAAATATCTGCTTTTTGAAGGTTTTCTACTTTTTTTACTATTTCTATTGTTTAAAATTTTTCTTTGTAAAAAAATTCATTAATTCACCAATCATTGCTTGATTTAAAAATTTCATTGATTAAGCTCTATTATAAATATAAGTACATTCCTAACTAGTTAAGTATCAGAAAATATGCATATAACTATAAATCAATCTAAATCCACAAATTACTTAGGTTTCTTTTTTAGATGTTATTTGCTCTTTTTAGTTTACGGATGTGCAGTGATCTCTTGTAATTATGAACTGCTTTGAACAATGAACTCATTCAAAACATTTTTATAGAAATAAAGTTAGTTGCTATATAAAGATTTAAATTAAAATTTTAAATTTATATTTGAAAAAAAACTTTTAGTTAAATGCTTTCTTGAACTTTCAATGTAATATTTACAGATTTTACTTAAAGAGATATTAGTTAGAGACTAGACAATTTTTCAATCATATTTTAAATATAAACTGAAGCTAAATGTAATAAAAATATAGTTCATACATGAAATTTTTTAATTAATGGTTATTAATATTTAAACAATAATTTAATGCGAAAATTAAAAATTATTGTATTAGTGAAGAAGAAAAAAACTGCCGATTTTTTTTAAAAAACAATTTTTTTCTTTGCAAAAAACTTTTATGTTATCTTGCTATCTAGCACATTTTAAAAAGCATATTTTTGATAATAAAAGTAGGATTTGTTATTTAAATTTTGATTTCAGAAAACCAGAAAGTTTAAACTTAAACTATTTCAAAATATAACAAGCGGTATTATTTATAGTCTTGTTTTCCTATGACTAAGCAATATAATGTCCTATTCTATTTGAAATAGTCTTCAATATTTTCTAATTTGCTTGATATTTTCAGGCTCATTACAATCAACCTATATGTCTTCAGATCCAATTAAGAAATGAACAGACTTAATTTACTTAGGCTTTCAGAAATTAACTCCTAATAAGGCTATT